TTGTTGTTGCTGCTGCTGCTGCTGATGCCTCTAAGGTTTCATGTGTCAGCACTATTAGTACTGTTTGTTTGTTTTAAATTTTGGTTTTTGAGTTGGTTTTTTTTAGAGGTGGGACGTTCTAATGTGACGTCCCGTCTCCCATAGACACTAATTGTGATACCGTGGGACCTGGCTGTCTTACATGGGTGGCTGTCTTACAAAGTGTCAATAGAATTTTTTTTTAATACACAAGGGTTGAAACAGGAATAAATTGTGGCCGTTCGTACAGATGATTGCCTTATACAGGTGGTCGTTACAGCGGGTCTAACTTTATTTAAACCCTTGTTATCTTTAGCAATTATCTTTAACCCTTTATTATTTTTTAACCTTTGTTAACTTTAACCCATTTTTTATTTTCAACTTGTGTCATTTTAAACCCTTTTTTATTTTAAATCTTTGTTATCTTTACCCTTGTTTTCTCTAGCCCGTGTTATCTTTAACCCTTGTTATCTTTAACCCTCGTTATCTTTAACCCTTGTTAACTCTCAGCTGACCCATGACGCTGATCGGAAATTCCCGTGCGAGAACTGCGACAAAGTGTTCACGGACCCCAGCAACCTGCAACGTCACATCCGGTCTCAGCACGTGGGCGCGCGCAGCCACGCCTGCTCCGAGTGCGGCAAGACGTTCGCCACGTCCAGCGGGCTGAAGCAGCACCAGCACATCCACAGCAGCGTCAAGCCATTCCAGTGTGAGGTAAGAACTGGGCAATGACCCGCTTTAGCAAAATCTGGATAATTATTATATTAGTGCACCTCTTTGGCAAATAATAATAGTATTTGAACCGCTTCGGCAAATGGGTTAGAACCACTTCGACAAACGGGTTAGCAAAATTTCGATAATGGGTTCACCCAATTCGGCGAACAGGTTACGAAAGAGAGTCTGAATTTATTCAAATAATGTTTCATTGAGAATTATCCGGTTAAATTTAATTAGGGATTTAATTGCTGATGATATCATCATCCTTATATTGTTGTTACAGTTTTTTCTTATTTGTATTGGGTTTTTGGTTATTTCGTTGGTTTTTTTTTTGCTTTTTGTTGTTGTTGGTGGAGCTTTTGAAGCCCCCCCCCTTTTTTTTTGGGGGGGGGGATACATTGTAGTTCACTTACTGTTTCTTATCGAATATCTTTGTCTTTATAACTCTTCCTTCTCTCCTTTATTATTTTCTCTTTTTTTGCACCTAATTGTTTTGTAAGTGCCGTAAAACTCTTATTAAAACTAAACTAAACATCTTTTCCTCCCCGCAAAGGTGTGTCTGAAGGCATACACCCAGTTCTCCAACCTTTGCCGCCACAAACGGATGCACGCCGACTGCCGCCAACAGATCAAGTGCAAGGACTGCGGCCAGGCCTTCTCCACCGTGACTTCACTGAGCAAGCACAAACGCTTCTGCGAGGGCGTCATGCGCAACGGCATGCGCGTCATGTACCCGACGGACAAACTCTCCCCCCTGACCCTGTCTCCCAACGGCCAAGCCCCGCCCCCTCACCTCAACCCCTCCCTCTTCCCTAGTATCTACGCGGCCGCGGCCGCCGCGAGCAGGCCTCAGTTCCCGTTCGCCCCCTACCCGCCCTTCTCCTCCTTCCACGGCCTCCTCCCCTCCGCCCTCCCCTCCATGCTGGGCGGCTCCGGTGTTCCTCCCTCTGCCGCGCTCAAACTGGCAGCGGCCAACCTCCAGCAGTTGTCTCCAGAGAGGAAGCTCCACCTCTCCCCGGACGCTTTCGCCTCAGCGGCTCTTTCCGGCCTGCACAAACCCTCCCTGTTCTCCTCCCCTCTTGGCAAGGAGGAGTCCTTACCCTCCCCGCACCCCTCGCTCCACGACGCCAAGCGGCCCTACAGTCCGGACGACGCTGACCACTCTGACGTCAGCGGCCACAGCCCGGCGGGAAACGTGCACGTGTCCGAGGAGGAGGAAGGCGGGGACGGGAGAGAATCCCCGGCCGGCTACAACAGGCTCAAGAGGAAGATGGAGGACGGGCTGGCAGGTCGGTCCGCATCTCCCGAGGACGAAGGCAGGTCCAAAAGTCCCCGTATGATGAAGGAAGAACAAGACGCGGGAAAATGTCCTGCACCTGAGAGGTCCAGCCCCGCCAAAGAGCGGAGTATCGCCCCGCCAGGCTTCACGCAGTTCCGGCCCCAGTCGCCCTCCGTGTCCACGCCGTCTTCTAAACAGAGGTCATCGACCCCCAAGACAGACGCGGCCTTTGACCTCTCCAGCTATGGCAGCGGCCTCAAGTCAGAGAGCAAGCGCAACTCCTCCTTCTCGCCAGTGGCGGGGAAACGAGAGAGCCGGTCAGAGGAGAGGAGTTCCGGAGGCTCGGAGAAGAGCGGGAGTGGAGGAGAGGACGACGCGCCTCTAGATCTGACCAAGAAGGTGGTCGAGCCCATCCCGGTCCTGCCTGTGGATATGACCCGCAAGACTCACATTTACGGCGAGCTGGCTACTGCCGGTACTGGCGCCCCCACCAACACCACCACAACCACCTCCTCCGTCTCCCCAGGACCCTCCCCCTCATCCTCCTCCTCCTCCCTCTCCTCCACCTCACCCTCCTCAACCATCGCCGCCACCGCCGCTGCCGCTATCGCTGCTTCTGCCTCTTCCCCCTCCTCCACCTCCCACCTCCTCTCCTCCAGCCTCAAGCTCCCAGTCAGCGTGCCCGACCCGACCAAAAGCCTGTGTGGCAGCAGCCCCTACAGCTACCCGTTCAGTCCTATCATGATGGAGTCCTTCCTACGCATGAAGGAAGACCTCAAGCTGCAGCAAGAAGTGGCGGCCAAGTTCTCCCACCCGTTCGCGCGCTTCGCCATGCCTGGCCCCACGGCCTTCCCCGGCCTCCCGCCCCACCCGCACCAGTTCTCCATGCTGCCCCGGCCAGACCTGGACAAGGTGCTCTCGCCCATGATGAAACTGGACAAGGGTTCGGACTACCCGGGCCACCCGCACGCCTCCCACCACCCTCACCACCCCCACCACCCGCACCACCACCCACAGGCCCACCCACACGCCCACCACCCACACCACCCACACCACTTCGGGGCCGGCGCCGGGGGGCCGCCCAAGTCCAAGGAGAGATACGCCTGCAAGTTCTGCGGCAAGGTTTTCCCGAGGTGAGTTGCTCTTCCCTATTTCATGACTGTCTTTCTTCTTTCCTTCCTTCCTTCTTTCTGTATTTTTTCCCATTTTTTCCTTCCTTCCTTCTTTCTTTCCTTCCTTCCTTCCTTCCTTCCTTCCTTCCTTCCTTCCTTCCTTCCTTCCTTCCTTTTTTCCCTAAAACCCCAATCTCAAGCTTTAAAAAAATTAGTTATGTCTTGTCTTTAACATAATTATATAGCTTCATCCATACCTCTCTTCTTTCATTACTTTGAATGTTACTCTCTCGTAACACCTCTAATTTTCGAGGCTTATATAACTAATTTGTTTTTGCACGTGTCGTAAAACTTCAAACCCTATCTGAAACTCAAGCTTTAAAATGCTTTCCTTCTTCTTTTAGACATTTATCATCCTTACCTTTCTTCTTTCTTCCTCTTGTATGTATAACTATCTCGTGACACCTCTACTCTTTGGCACCTATATTTTATATGAACTAGTTGTGTTGCATATCAGTTATAATATGACCTAATTTTGTGGCTAAAATGCTCAAACTAAACCCCCAAAACTACAACTTAATAAAATCTTCTACCTCCTTCCCTCTTTCTTTCAGATCGGCGAACCTGACCCGGCACCTGCGCACACACACGGGCGAGCAGCCGTACAAGTGCAAGTACTGCGAGCGCTCCTTCAGCATCTCCTCCAACCTGCAGAGGCACGTGCGCAACATCCACAACAAGGAGAAGCCCTTCAAGTGCCAGCTCTGTGACCGCTGCTTCGGCCAGCAGACCAACCTGGACCGTCACCTGAAGAAACACGAGCAGGAGGGCCCCCACCTCACCGACTCGCCCACCAACGAGCTGGAAGACAAGGACGACGCCTACTTCTCGGAGATTCGGAACTTTATCGGCGTCACCGGGGGCGCCTCGAGCAGTGCTGGTGGGAACGTCACTGGTGCTTCTACTGGTAATGGCAGCATTAGTAAAGACAATGATGACGAGGAAATTGGTGATGGTGATAATAATGGTGTTGCTGATGGTGCTTCGTCGTCGACCGTGGCGAGGTCGAGAGTGGTTGATAACGACGCTGATGTTGAAGATGAAGGCGAGGAGGAAGAAGAGGAGGGTATGACGGGTGGAAGGTTTGCGGGTGCTCCTGTTGCTGCCTCCAGCCCCCTCCTCAGCCAACCGGCGGGTCTGTCAGATGACGAGGACGAGATAAACGTTGATAACGATGATGTTGATGATGAAGATTTATTAGATGACGAGGAGCTGGTGGAGGAGGCGGACATTTCCGACGATGATATTCTCGATGAGGCGCAGAGTTCTGCTGCCGCTGCCCGGAAGTTGAACCTGGTTCCCGGTCTAATGACGTCATCCGCTGAAGGTGACGTCACTGAGAAGGGAAAAGTTGTCGATGTTCAGAAGGATGGCAAGGTTGAAGATGAAAAGGCAGCTGGTGATGAAAAAGATGGTGATAATGATGAGAAGGCAAATGAGAAAGAGGATAAAGATGAAGGGGTGAAGACAGGTAGTGCGGATGTGTAGGCGAGTTTTGTATGTCTGCATGTGTGTCTGGGGAAGGATACGACTCGCAGGTACAGGGATTTACGAACAGTGATAGGGTGATACGAAGACAGAAAGAAAGAAAGAGGGAGATAGGCGGGGGGGGGGGGGGGGGGA